GGGGCTCAGCACCGTGTGTTGTGGGTTCAAATCCCGGCTCTGCCACCTCCTGGCTGCACAAACACAGGCATGCTGTTTAGTTTCAGGTTGCCTCCGTTTCCTCATCTTTGAAACGGGACAGCAATAGCATTTACTTCAGTGGTGTTTATGATGATTAGCGGAGTCAGTATTTGCAAAGTGCCAGGAAGCAGAGCCTGGCGCGTGGGAAGTTCTTGAGCATGAGTCATTTGGAGCCGGGACTCTGAAATTAGATTTACGGGAGTTCAAACCCCAGCTGCCAAGCACAGTGCAATGGTATGACCTTAAGAGAGCTGCTTAATTTTCCCATGCCTCAGTTTTCCTACTTGTAAAATGGGGGTAAAAAATAATATTACCTAGCCCCTGGGGTCTAGGTGAGGATTCAATGAGAGAATCCATTATAATACATGTTGGACACTGAAGCTGTACTTCCCCTGAGGGAGAGCGCCTCCTGAAATTCTGCACCCTCGGTGCCATTCAGCCTCACCCTAGTCCCAGCCCTGTCTCTGAGCTCACAGAGCCCTGTAGAATAACATTAATAATAATTCACATGAATACCATCTAACATTTATATCACAGTGGCTAAGAACTGATGTAAATATATACCCTTAGAGCCAAGCTCCCTGGATTCTTATCCTGGGTACATAGCTGTGTGACCTTAGGCAAGTTACTTTACCTCTCTGTGCCTCAGTTTCGTAATCTATAGAATGGGGATTATGATGGCGTCTACCTTGTAGGCTTGTTGGGAAGTTTAAATCAGTTAATATGTGTAAAGCATGTTGGACAGTGCCTGGCACAGGGGCAGCACGATACGGCGGTGTTCCCCTGAGCTCACAGAGCCCTCCAGCCACAATATTATTATTAGTAGTATTAGTATTAGGTTCATCTGGAGCTCACCGAGGGGCCTGATCATCCCTCATTCCTCTCTTCCCTGCACAGCACCAGGCGCTGAGATGGGAACGAGGATTACCCCACCTGGCGCACGAGGAACGTGGTGGGGCCTGCAGCGCCCATGCAGCCGCGCGCTCTGAGGCTGAGCCTGCAGCTGGGACTGACACCTGCCCACACCCCCGGGGCCTGCAGCCCGCCTGCCGCGCTCACCTCACAGCCCTTGGCCATGGCGAAGCCCCCTCCCAGGAGAAGGATAATGTTCCAGGGCACCGTGTCCTGGGCTTTCTTCCATGTCAGCAGGGGTTTTGTCTCTGTGTTTGGAGCTGGGCAGAGAGAAGACACACAGCCTGAGGAGGGGACACTGGCCCCACTGGGCAAAGACCCCACACATACTGGGGACACACAGCCTGAGGAGGGGATACCGGCCCCGTTGGACACAGACCCCACCCACACTCGGGACACTCAGTCTAAGGAGGGGACACTGGTCCCTGCAGCCCTATCTTTGTGGGGACACTCGGGGTTCTCC